TTAATGCCACGTCACGTCCGCCAACCGCATTCAATGCGGTGAACGTACCACTGCCGGTGCCACCCGGCTGATGTGACTCCTCGGCCGTCGGATTACTGACACGTGTACTCTCATCGCATTTATTGCTGCTATAAATAGCAGCCCATTTCTCCTTGTAAAACGATCCACATCCCAACTTTCACACGCTGAGTTCATTTAATAAAATCGACTCTCTCTCCTCCTATTTACTCTCACTTCTCTCTAGTTATTCCCGCAATAACCCCTCGGATAAGATACCCCCCGGGTAGACTTTCCATCAGGAAGTTAGTTAAATAAATTTTTAAAAATTGCATAAATATTTAGGCCTAAAATGCAGTTTTTTTCAATAAATTATTTAACTAACTTCTTGATTTAGTTTTAAATCTGAAATTCAGTGAACATAACCTACACTTTAGGAAGAACATGTTCATCAAATTTCATCAAAAAATTCGACTCGAAAGCACCTCAAATTTCATAAAAATGTCTCATTCCCGTCACAACGTCCTGACCGGAACCCCAGTGCGGACAACACCATCAGAGGGTCTTCCAGGTTGAATTTTTCGATGAATTTTTTTGAGCATGTTCCTCTTCAAGTCTAGTTTATTCATACCAAATTTACGCTCTAAGTTCAATCGGGAAGATAGTTAAACAAATTCTTTAAACATACCGCGTTTTATATATGTACAAAATGTGTTCTAAGAGAAGAGCCGCAACTTGGAGTGGCGGCTTTTGTACTGTAAGAGAAGATCCGTCACTTGGAGTGGCGACTTTTGTACTGTAAGAGAAGCGCCGCCACTTCAAGTGGCGACTTTCCTTAACCACGGTTATCCCAACAGTATTTTGGGAATTATTTTTAACCCAACATTATTGTGGGAATTATTTATTTAATTAGCATTATTTTAGGGAAAAACTCAAATATTTCAACCAAAAGTGTTTTGATAATAAAAATGAAAGAAAATAAAGAAATTGTGATTAAAGCGGTTGGATTGGTTGAATTATGAAAAATTATATTTAACATATATGTAGTATTCTATATTTCATTACCAAAGAAAAAAATGTACGGAAGTAACTAAAATGGTCATCTAAACTAACTTCAATCAATTCAATTAGAAAAGTACTTCATACTCTCATCTTATTTATTTTGATTATTAAACTATATCGTTTGTGAAATCAAAAGTTACGTATGTGATATAAAAACTTATTGATAAGTTGAAAATATAGGATAATCTAATGAAAATAAGATGCTTGACTTAAATTAAAATAAATTCATACTCTTTAGATTTGTATAAAAAAGAGAAAAACTGAAAACATATACTCTCAAATAGTCTTTCTAATGAGGAAAAAGAAACAATTTTACTTATTTCTATTAAGTGTTGTCTCAGGTTAAAATGTCTATCTTTATTAAGTTGTTTATTTCGATTAATTAACACACACACACACAGGTTTTGGTTCAAATAAGAACATGATCTTATGAGAAAAATGAGAATGAATCTGGATCGTTAGATTTGCTTTATGTGAAATTCAATGTGCATTAGATGAAGTTGTAATGTGTATTAGGTCAAATTGAAATGTGCAGCACAAAGGGTACAATGTAGTGGCATTATGTGAAGCTAAATTGTGCATTAGGTGAATTTGAAATGTGTACTAGATGAAACTAAAATGTGCATAATAAAAGATACGATGTAATGTTTTTTTTGTACCTTTTATTTTGCACATTTCAGTTTCACTTCATGCACATGTGAGTTTAAATTTTTATTATGCACATTTCAATATCATCTAATGCACATTTCGACTTCACCAAATGCACAATTCAGTTCCACATAATTCAATCCAACGGTCCAGATTCATTCTCATTTCTCTCCTAAGATCCGTTCTTACCGGAACCGCTCCCTATATATATATAGGGAGCTTGAATTTGTGCGTAGAATAAATATGTTTAATTGAGTAAAATATTCACTCTTTTTTATGACGCAGATGTTCGTACCATTTTTAGCACGAACTATTACATTGGCCCTGACCTGAAGTTAAACGCCAGTTAAACACCCCGTAGCCCATCAAGGGGATTCAAAGTTCAAACGAGTGAATGAATAAGTATTGCTTTCAATATTAATATAAATAATCTCAATATTGATTTTAAAAAATTATATAAATACACATCATAATATGCATCTCAATGTGAAAGACTACTATATGTTAATGATTAAATCAGTTTTTTCACCTAATGAATAAACCGCGTTTTAAATTACGTAGTATATCGTAACTAAACATAACATAATGAGTGAGCGGTTAACTTGTTATTCTCATGAAATTCATTAAATCCCAGGCTATAAGAATATTTTGAAACATATTATTCTATATTTTTATATAAATATATAATTAAGAACAACACTAACAACATGTGTTAGGGAATTTTTTTGACTGCCTTCCCGGTTGAATTTTTAGCTGAAATTTGGTATGGATAAACTAGACTTGATGAGGAACATTCTCAAAAAATTTCATCAAAAAATTCCACCGGGAAGGGCCTCTGATGGCCTCGGCCTGACGGCGGTTTCCGTCAGGCCGGCCTGACAGGATCGGGACTCTGTACCGTTAGTTAGTTTTACTTGCTACGTACTCCCTCCGTCCCAAAATTATCTTCATAGTTACTATTCACATGGTCAACTCAAATTACTCTTAATCTTTTACTTTATATATCAAATTTTTATCAAACTTAAATTTTCTTGATCAGGCTTTGTAGCGGTTTTAATGTAGTTTCTGAATATGTAAATTTTATTTACTAAAAATAATCCGAGTGTGAACAGGGATCGAGTTGCTTTATCGTCAGTCAAGCATCGTAAACCGAACTATGAAGATAAATATGGGACGGAGGTAGTACTATATAGATTTTCACTTATGATGAATGAATAATCCAAGAAATCTTCTTTCTTTGATTCCTATGTTCTTGCAATATTTCTCCGTTATGTAGGAATTTTTTTAACTTGTCAAGGTAATTGCTAATCATTCGAACACAACTAAATGGAAATAAGATTTGCTCCAAATAGCGGAACAAATTGATGTGGAATATCTTGTTTAAATCAAGATTTTCTCAATTACATAATTCCTGCCTCGACACCAGGCAATAGTCGAATGCCTCAATTTTAGTTTACTCGTCGATTTGGCGCCTAGGTGTATTAGCTTAGGGCACGTAATTGCCCAATGCCCACTCAGAACGCCTAATCGATTGTCTAGCGCATCTAGATATATGTTTTTTTACCTTTTTATTTTTTTTCTAAGCTATATGTATCTTTAATTTCATATATGAAAACAACTACTTGTTATTCAAGATAAAAACTATATATGTTTGTATATTTCTTATTATTTAATACTTATTAAATAATGAAGTTAAGTGATTAGTTATAATATATTATTAGATGTGATGATCCTAATATCAGGGCCGAACCTATACATGAGGCCAAGAGGCTATTGCCTCAGGCCCACAATATTGGATAAAAATTAAGGACCCACAAAATATTAGTTATCTTTGTATATACCCAAAATGCTACAAGGAAGCGGTTCAGCCCAGCTGGTCGCCGATTCACTCTCCCTGACGGGAGGTCTCTGGTTTGAAACTCAATGGAGTGAGTTTCTGCCTAAATTACTCCAGGCTCTCCCAGCCCCCATCCCCAAACGCCCCCTGGAGTAAAAAAAAAAAAAAAATCAGAATACACCGTGTATCGATGTATCTTTGCCAACTTCCCAAAGGTCAATTTCAGATTTTAATTTTTCAGCATACAGTTTTAGCCTCATGTGGTAAGTTAATCTAAAATCACCATATTCTCAATTGTTGTGTTTTTACTTTCTAAATGTCAATTTTGCCAGTGTGCTATATCACATTTTAGAATTTCATAAATTTCATGATGTTTTTAAATCTTTGCTAATTAAAGCTTAGGGTAATTGTAATTGATTTTTTTATTTTGCTAATAAGTTTTACTCCCTCCGTCTCTAAAAGGACTTTCGTTTCACTTTTTGAAAGTCAACTTAAATCACTTTTAAAGGGCATTTTTATTTTGTTTGACTTGGGCCAAAAAAGTATTAAGATCGGCCCTAAATCCTATCATTCATGCATGTTATTTATCATTTTTATGCAAGAACATTGATAACATATTAATTTCTTATCTCACATAAGTTCCCGCCTAGGCACTCACCTAGCTGCCTGGACGCCGGGCAAAATTTAAAACTTTAAGCCATACTTTTACCCATAAACTTTACTTGTGTAATATTAAGGAAAAAGCTGTATTACACAACGTTAATACATCGTACATACTTTGAAACTATATATTACCTCACTTGGCAAGGTTCACATATACATACTTGAAATACTCCGTATATTTTTGAGCAAAAAAAACTGGGAAATGTTACTCGACATTTACCACACCCGAAAGGGTGGTTCTTGGGATCAAAAAATAAAAAGAAAAAAGTCACCAAAGAGGCAAAGGAGTAAACGGTTTCAAATGCAGATTCACTACCATAAGATACCAACCCTAATTTTTCATTCGTATCATTCTCTACCTCAAAATATTCTTCTTATCTAAATTTATTAACCTCAACCAAGGTTACCAAGCTATGTTGATCGTAAAGGTGAGAATTATTGAAAATGTAAAATAACTTATTTTAATAGGAAAAACAATTATTTGGAGAGTTTCTAAAGAATATTCATAGTTTCTGAGGCAGAAACATACTTTTTCCCTAGAATTTCCGTACTTCATAGCTGCCAAGTGCCTGTCCGAAACCCGGATCCTTTGTTTATGTCATTTGCAAAAAACTACGATAATAAAGTACAAATGCCGAAGTGTTAAAAATAAAGAATGAAATTTGTCAGAAAAAAACAATATAGATGAATTATATGCCATGGGGCATGAGGGGACAACGAGAAGGAAGACTTTAGGAACAAAACAATACTTGAAGTATAGTAATCAACTTAGAAACCCCACCCAAAACAATACCCTTGCAAGACGAGATAGAGATTCTGGGTGTACATGACAATGATGACAGGCGTCCTAGCCTCCAGTAGTCTATTGGAATTCATGGGTTAGATTATGGCTCAAAATGACCGCCTCTCTTTTGGTATGAATCCAATCAATTTCTACATTCTAAAATGCAGACAATACCAATCCACTCTAAGCAAAGAAACATGCATTGACATAGAAACATTGCTGTCACACAAAATCCCACCACAATTCATCTTTTATTTCCTAGTAGGGAGAAAGATTTTGTCTATCTGTGATTTCTTTCTTGTGAAATGTACTTCGTGCAATCTTAACCAAGGCTATAATACACGTTAAGAATAAAAGAGCAGAAATCGATACGACGAATGAAGAAGTAAAAGACGGACAGATCCTCAAGGTACGTGTCTCCATGCTCATTGATGCAAACCGCTCGCCTGGTTGCTTTTGCCTGTGTGTTGGAATATGATCATAATGGGAACCATTTTAAAGATTTCACACTGAAATGTGTGGCAAAATGCACAAACAGTACCTTAGTTGTTGGTATTGTTGGATTTGTTGCACTTTGGTACCTCAATACTAAAACTATACGTGATGTTTCAACAAGCAATATTAGTCAAATTTCGGCCAAAAAATCCAACATGCTGGCCAGAACTCTATGCGTACCATCTACCATACAGTGATTAAGTAGATAATAAATAATGTACAGTGGACTGTAGACATGAAATTCTAGCAGTCACGTTGGATTTTTTGATCAGGAGTTGGAATAGTATTGCCAAATGAAACATTTATGCACACATTTGGTACTGATTTGTTTCATTTAAGAGTTAAGGTGCCAAAATGTAACAATACTGATAGTTAAGGTATCATTTATGCATCTTATCTGTGTGAGGCCTTATAATATTGCTGGTTTGTTTATTTGTAATAAAATCCAGAGGCCGTGGGAGATTTCACACTTGATACAGTTTATAATATACCTAAAGAAGTTCTTGAGTGACTTCCACATATGAGGAACACTTCTGTGTGGATGATCTGAATCACATTTAAAGAAAATAATAAATAGATAAACAAAAGGGGGAGACATTAATGTGCTAAATCCGAAAGAACATAAAATTGTATTATAAGAAAGCATACCATCAAAAGGCACTGAGTGGTCCTTGGATGCAGCCCTGATTGAAGCCAATGCCTTGAGGAGATCTTGTTCTTCATTACTGAAATAAGGTAAATTACACGCTGAATATAATTGTAAACTATCTTAGGTTACAATGCAGAACCGTGATACTGGATTGGAAACACTACTACCCAGGCCAAGAACAAACCACCAAAGTTAGTTATGCTTATAAGAATGAACTTCTAAAGGTGGCCTAAAAACGAGAGAATAACCACCACCATCATTGGTTAGATAAATTAAAATTCATCATTTCTCATAGAAAAGTTCAAACCTGATGTTCTTCGGGATTCGAACATTGACAATAAAATGATGATCTCCTCGCTCATGAGGTCTACTCATATTTGGGACTCCCATATTTTCCATTTTCAAAGTATCTCCAGGTTGACATCCAGGAGGAATCTTCAGATCTCTTATACCATCCATAGTTTTGACCTGTGAGCGATCACATCCCCAGCACCACCAAAAACATGGGAAAAGAAATACAAATAAATTGGCAAACACAACAGTGGTAAAATAGAGAAGAGCTAGCTAGCTTAACTTTGTAGCTGGATGACAAAATGCAAAAGGCTAGAGTTAGCAAGGCAATAATTGAAATAGAAACATACGCATCAAAATACATTCAAAGCTGTAAAAACAAGGTAAAACTTATATCCCAAATACTATGGGTTGAATATCAAAGTAGCTGTATCCCAAACAATTGTAAAAATGGTTTCTCGACCAAAAAAATCAGTGTAAGCTAACTAAGCTTGACTAAATAAGTACATTAAGGGTGAGTCAGTCAGAGTATCAGAATAATATGCAGAATTGAATTGACAACTAAAATCATATTATATTTTTATATTATCTTCTGCCACCCACACCATTGTTTATAGGTATATAGAAGACAAAGACGGTGTTACAAGGGATGTTCATATAAAATTGGAAATTTTCAAACTTTCAATCACCCAATCCAATTATTTTGACTATATAAGCAGTTGATTGTAGCATATGATAAAAAGCAGACCTTGACCCAGAAAATAGTAGGGAGAATTATGTGCATTAGAGTAAAAAGTTCAACAATGTGTAAATTTTGAAAGTGAAGAAAGGATAAATGGATGATATGAAAGTGAAAAGGTTTCCAAACAGTTTACACTTAATTGGAGATTCATACTACCCTTTTGCTACCTTGGTAATTGTCCCCAGAATGGCTCCTGTGTAATCAATGTCTACTTTTGAGTATAAGTTCAGACCATCCCTCAAAATTCCGTTCTCTTCCTCGACATGGACGACCAGAAAGAGGTTGCCGGCAATGCCCCTGCAATCAAGTAATCAAATACTCAGCATCACTTCATTGTTCATGGAGTTTAGATCTTTATCACTTGTGCCAGGATCACAGGACGACTGAATGTCTAGACCTGAAGCAAGGATAATGAACACATCTGCTGGGCAAATAGGTAAATAGTGTAGAATATGAGAGGAGAAAATAATGTGCTAATGTGTGAAATGTTTAAAACATTCCTTGTTTAGCATAAAATGATATACAAAATATAATAACCCAAACAGTCTACCATGGCAAGAGTTAAGGCTTTTTTACAAGAATATTACTAAAATAAAACATATTTACATAAATATGACTATTCATTACTACAATGTGGTGTTGTGGTAACTTAAGTTCAAAACTTGAACATGAATTACTATAATTTCATTACTACTCTAGTCACTAATCATATTTTTGTAAATCATCTTTATTTTGGTGATATTTATGTAATTATTTCAGTTAAATTATAACATTCATATATACCTTCTGGCTCTTTTAATCTCCTCTTTAACTTTTCAGCATATCCCAAAAAATCTTCATAGTTTCCTTTTCGGTATCTTTTTTGAAAACACACAAAAATTCTCCCTAGGTCAACTCAAGCTCAAAGGAAATAGAAAATCTAGAATATAAATTGTTCACTCTTAAACTCTGTGTCTGATAAGTACCTGGCAATAGTCTGAGTACTAGCAGTAAATAAGCAAAAGTAGATCTGATAGAGATGATAGGGAAGTGATGTTTATTATTGAAATAGGTAAACCGTAGGCAACAAAGGTAACCAGGACTTAGGCAACAAGGCAATAATTCAGATAAATGATAACCTACCCTTTATTAGCTACCTCACCCTACTATATATAGTAACTGTCCACGCAGGGACCACCTGAATAGATCATTCTCTATTTTACCCCCCTTAGCCCCTTATTTTTCCTTTGATAAACCTTATTAAAATACCGGATGGGCTGGTGGCCCAGATTCCTATCAGTGTCTAATTAAACCAAAAAGATAAAAGGAGGGCAAAGGGAGTAGTATTCAACACTCCCCCTCAATCCGAAGCAAGTCCTATACAGTACACTGACAAAATGGATCTTAGGGTTACAAAACAGTAACCCATAACGGCTAGAATTTAACCAAGTAGAATGCATGTGTTACAAGTCTCCATTCGGGATGCAAATTGGGCAAACATATGCATACATTTAATAGTAGATAAATAAATGGTGGATTAAATGATTAATATTGAAAGAATGGGAGGGAAATTACTAGGGGTGTTTTCATTTCCCAAAATATGACAACTTTTACCATTTCCAAAAAAGTGACCCATTTTAAATGAGTGGCCTAAATTAAACACTAAAACAATGAACCAAATATAACCCTAAAATCATGCCGCCACACCTCTCCTCTCACGCCTTCTCCTCTCCTCTCACCACAGATCTGCCGCCACTGCAGCTTCCCGCCACTGCCGGCTGCCGCTTCTTCTTCTTCTTCTTCTTCTTCTTCTCTTTTTCTATCGACAACTGACACGCCACCGGTCCACCACCTATCTCTTCCCCTATCCTTTTCTGTTCGAGCGCCGATTCTATGGCAACTGATAGACGGCCAGGGCTTTGTCAGGGAGCAGGGGAGGGGGTTTCGGACTGGGGATGGGGCAAGAGAGGGGGCTGGGGCTAGGGAGGGCGTAGCTGTGGTCGATGGTGGTAAATGCATGGGGCGTTTGTCACGGGATTGGGCTGTAGTCACTGATGGTTGGCGGAGACAGTAGTCACTGAAATGCTGTCACTAAACTATGGTTTTTTGGATGGGGACTGAGTTTTTTTGGCTGGGGGGTGTGAGTACGTGGTGGCTGAGTTGTTGTGTGTAGTGTTGTGGTTGTAGGGGCGGGTAGTGTCACTGTAACTGCCGCCACCAGATTTAGTAGTCACTATACGATGGTCACGATATGACACCAAAGAACGGAGTCACCGGAGAAGGTAGACAACGAAGTCACTGTAGTGGATGCGGCAGCGGAGGCGGTGGAGTCACTATATCACAGTCACTATACTACAATGGAAAATAAAGTAACCGGAGAAGGTAGACCACAAAGTCACTGGAAAACGGAGTCACTGGAGAAGGTTGACAATGAAGTCACTGTGGCGGTGGTGGCAATGGCGGCGGCAGCAACAGTGGTGCCGGCGATGGTGGCAGCAGTACTCATTAGGGTGGTTGGAGGCATTTAATAATAACAAAAATGGAATCATCATCATTTTCATTTACCCCAGTGCCGCAAAGGCTCCCACCTCCGATGGGGTAAGGGGGTCAGATGTACGCAGTCTTACCACTGTACTAAAGCACAGAGAGACTGTTACCGGATGACCCATAGTGAAAATCGCGTCCAAAATTGCATGGACCAAAATTGCATGGACTGACTGCTGCCAATGTTCGAAATTGCGTATTGCGTAACTATGGCGGTTTTTTAGAATTGCATATTGCGTAAGCCTCATTGCGCAATGAGGCGTATAGCTAAGGCGTAAATGTATGTATATATATAATTATATTTATATTATAAATATATATATATATATATATATATATATATATAACAAAAACATTATTCAAGAGAAACCAACAAATGCAATATTAAAACAAATCATAATGTTTAACAATCTTAGGAAAAATAATCCTGAATAATAGCAAAAATGTCTGAAACGTCATAAAATAATCCTAAACATATTAGATTGATGATTGGAAAATCGGGTCATCACTATCTAGCGGTCTGAAATAAGGATCATAACCACCAATATTTCCTTCATCCTCATCCACATCCTCATCAAGGTCAAGATCAAAATCAGTATCATGACCAAACAATTCTTCATCTTCATCGATCAAGTGCAATTTTCCTTTTCCTTTATCAAGACGCTTTCTTTTTTGACCTTGACTATTTCCTCTCAACCGTCCTTGTTCGCGGCCCTTTCCATTACCACGAACAAGTTCTTGACTTGAAGAACGTCCAGCACTAGCTTCACCATCAGAATCATCATCGCAAGCAACATCATTAGGATTTGTCTCATCTTCATCAATCACCCATTCATCATCGGATGGAATCTCATCCATCACTAAAGGATCAATGTCTTCTTTAAGTGATGTTTTTTTCATCCACTTTGTCTTTAATCTTTTGTTATACATCACAAACACCAACTTGTTCAAATTATGTGTATGCAAACGGTTCCTTCTCTTGGTATGTATCTACAAACATATTAGTTAAACTTTATTATTTACTTAATTAACTAGTATTTTATACTAATTATTTATTATTAGTTAATACCTGGTTAAACGTGCTCCAATTACGCTCACAAGCAGACGATGAACATGTAAGACTCAACACCCTCACAGCAAAAGCCATTAATTCAGGTGTTTGATCGCCATATTGACACCACCAGTCCACTACATAAACATAATTAAAATTATTAATTTGTAAAAAAAAATTAAAGGATAAAATATAATTAAACTTTGCATACCAGGACTACGTTTATCAACCGTGCTTTTCGCCACATCATGACCGAAGAACCCCCTTTTCAAACGATAATCATCCATCTGCAAATGTATTTTCTCCTGATCTTCTCGGGCTGGAAACATTTTTGCCACACAATTAAACAAACCAAGCTTAATCTCCGGATGATTGGACATATTGGGATCATATTGGTAACGGGGGTTGAGATAATAAGCTGCTGCGTGCAAATCACGATGCATCTGAAATTCCCACTTCTCATCGATTATGCTCCAAATCTCTTTATATGCAGCCACATCCCCGCCCAAGTTCTTAGCTATCTCTTCTTTTGCCTGATCCATGGAACCATATAAAAAACCCATACCAGGGACCTTTTCTGAGTCTGCCATCCTCAACACAGTAAACAACGGCTTTGTTGTTTTGATTGCATACACCACGCTTGGCCAAAAAAATTTGTCCGTCAACACAATTTGTTTCACCTTCTTTGCTTCTGCGGATTTAGACATGTGATGAGATGACCATTCCTTAGATACAAACATTTCTTCCAGCTCGTCTTTTGAACTGTGCATGCTTTGTAACGTAAGGTATGCAGTAGCAAATCTGGTGGCAGCTGGACGGATAAGATCCCGTTTTAACATTTGTCGCATCAAAGCCAGTGCCCACCCGTGATTGTATATATAGTGAATCACCTATAAAAAATTATAATATATTAATAATATTTAATTTACACGAGTCCTACTTATATTTTAATAATTTTAATAATTAACTTAAATTTGAAATTTTAAAATGATAATTAAATTTCATATTATTTTCTTACCGTCTTAGCCTTTGCTAGCGCATTCTTGTGCTGTGGGAGCTCTCCAATCTTCTCTAGTATCAAATCAATACAATGAGCCGCACAAGGTGTCCACCACAGACGTTGTCGCTTCGCCATTAACAATTTGCCGGCCGCTTTATAGTTGGAGGCATTATCAGTTACAACCTGAGTAACAATATCTTCCCCTACTTCTTCCACGACACTATCCAGAAGCTTGAACAACATCTTGGCATCTTTTACATGAGCTGAGGCATCAACTGATTTCAAAAATATCGTTCCATAAGGATTATTGATGAGAAAGTTGATTAGTTGTCTTCCACGCATATCCTTCCACCCATCGGATAATATAGACACTCCTGTTTGTGTCCATGTCGACTTCACCTCCTCAACAAGTTTCTCAGTGGTCTTTACTTCTTCATCTAGAATCCAATGGCTAAGCTCATAAGCTGAAGGTGGCCTGAAACCCCGTCCATAGTTACCGATTGCACGACACATGTTGATAAATGAAGGTGAATTGGCCACATTAAATGAAATACCATTCTCGAAAAAAAATCTCCCAACATCCAAACAACAATTTTTTCTGGCTTCTTTTTCACCTACAGGAGTTTCCTTATTCTCACCTTCAACGTCGATGACGTATCTATCCATAGGGCCCCTGACTCCTCGTTCGCTACTGCTACCTCCATTTGAATCCACGCCACGTGGATTTACACTTTGATAGTATGAACCACTATTAATAACCTCTTCCCGATCTCTATCCCGGACTGCTTGTGTTTTCTGCCCCAACTTCAAAAGGTCTAACATGTATTTCTTTATGTCTTCCGGAACAGATGGACACCCGCTTACATTTTGTTTTGTGCAGGCCAGATGATGCTTGAATCTGGTTACCCCTCCTGTGGTCTCTTTATGGCAATATCTACATTTTACATATTTATAAGATTTGCCCTTTAACCCTTCTCGTTCAATTTCGTCACCATGTTTCCACGCAGGGTCATTTTTATTCGATTTAGTCATGATTGTACCGCACCAAAAAACCTATCTATGGCGAAAGAAAATAACAAGAATGATATATTAGCCTAATATTAATATATATCTAGCGTATATGTGATGTAAACTGGAATAGTTGAATATTAATAGAAAACTAATTTAATAGAAAATTAAAATTATCGTTTACTTTCACCTTAAGTACAACTGTACAACACTAAAAACTAAAATTAATTATAAACAATGATTTAAAGGTGAGTTAACTTCAAATACGAAAACCAAAATAACATACTAATATGCAGATACTTAACCGGGAAAAAATGCATAGACTTAACCGCTGCTAATTTAACATTAAACTAAACAGAAAATTTAATATTAATATTACATCAAAGTTGAAGTTATCATTAAATTTAATAACTAAAAAATCAAAAAACATATTGATAAGTTGAAACTTAATCGAAGGATTACAACAAAATGTTAATAGGCAGAAAAATAACATTAATATTTAGTGTTTAATTGAATAGAAACAAAAACCAAGCATCAAATAGAAAACACTACAAAGTTGAAGTTATCATTAAATATAATAACTGAAAATATAATGACTGAAAGAACGTATTGGTCTGTCGAAAGTTGAAAACATAACCAAAAGAAAATCATTAAGTTTTTTTTTGGAAGAAATCATTAGGTATTAATAGGCAGAAAATTAACATTAGTATTCAGTATTAAATTCAATGGAAACCAAAAGTGTCAAAAACAGAGCATCAAAGGAGAAGCAGTACAAAGTTGAAGTTATTATATAATCGCAGGAAAACATGAAGTATTTATAAGCAGAAAATTAACATTAATATTTAGTAATAAATTCAATTGAAACAAAAATTAATCAACAAAGAGAAGCAGTACCGTAGAACTGTCCTAGAGGTTTCACCAACAGTGAAAGCGGAAGAAGCGACCAAACATAGAGCAGGGGAGGAAAGAACTGGTTATTTGCTTATTGCGTATCAATTGCCTTATGATTGCGCAGAGAATAGATGGGAAGATGGCCGCATATATACCGTGTACCCTATGTCGGTCTATTTTACTTAAAAACTGGGCCGGCGGACAAAAAAAAAACAAGACCCATCAAACAAAAATAACGTACGCCATACTAACGCCTCATTGCGTAAGTTAAATTGCGTACGCTTCAACGCAATAAACGTACGCTACAGACCTGCGCGCAATCTGCAATGCAATTTTACGCCTTACCTACGGAACTAGCCAAGGCGCGCCATGAGGCGCTATTGCATTGCGCAATTGCAAACGTTGACTGCTGCTTCATAACAAAGAAGCGCATAACAAAGAAGCGCAGACAGTTTAGTGAGTCATTTTGCTTTATTCCATCATATTCTCAAGCCAAAAAATAATGAATCTTTGGCTCCATTGCAAATGATGGAAAATAACAAAAATGGAATATAAAAATAAATGTAGTATTAAATCAGGGTCAAATAATATGGTTAGTCATAGTTTTGCAAAACTTAAAAGCAAGTCACATTTTTGTCAATTGTATATAAATTAGTAATATTCATAAAAAAAGGGCCATTATTATTTCTACCAAGTTACAGATCAAATTTCAAACCACTGGTATCCTCTGAGATGGGGATGTAGAATAAAAAATTGCTTGTATTGGTATAGCGTTTACCTTGCAACTTCATACTTAAACTGATGACTAATAGTCTAATACACTTCCTTAATAGAAAAATAACAGGCCCCAAGTGTAATGGGATACATGGCTACAACATAAGGTTTATAAATGTTAACAAGAGATTTCAAGGGTTCCTAACTGAATCGGGATGGGCTACACCCTAGTTTAATAGGCTACACCCTAGTCGGGATGGGTTTCTGACCAACATAGGATTAAGGATTTATATTACTTAAACGTTTACAGGGGAGGAAAGATAGAACAACACTTGTAGAAATATGAGATCTCGTTTTGAAACACACCTTGTTTTGTCTATGTTACCCTCTCCTCGAAGTTGCATCGAGCTACCATCACTGACTCCTGGTGGTATGACCACTCTCAAGCTCCGCTTTGATTTTACTTGACCTTGGCCATTACATTGCCGACAAGCATCTGCTATTATCTTGCCATTACCACTACACTTTGGGCAAGTAGATACCTAGAAATTATAAGCATCTTTTAAAAAGTAGTTGGGTTTCAAATACAAAAAGGTCAAAGGAGTTTGATTGCCGACCTCCATGTAAACTCGACAATTGCTAAAGATGGTTTTAAAATTTATGTATCTCAATTTTGGGAAACTATATCAAAGACGATACAACCACAAAGTGCACATTTGGTTCAAGTTATATAAGTAGTTTTCTGCCACGGGACACTTCTTGTCCATGACACTACACAATAGAACTTTTTAGATACGGACTTATGCAAAGCATTTCTAACAAAGTTATGGGGGTATACTTTTTAAGTTATAATTAAATATCACTTGTGATCTAAAATTAAAAAAAATACCTACTTCCCCAAAAGCAGTGAGTTTGAGCTTTTGGGACTGGAGGTAAACAAACTAACACTTTTACTCATTTTAAAAGTGTTTTTTTAAAATATGTCATACACTTATTGTGTAGAAAATAAGTGCTTTTTTTTCTTTATCTCTAACAATACAAACAAACTTTAAGGAAATGATAATTCGACATATCAGTAAAGGGAGTGAAATCTATTAACGTATTGGTAAAACAAATAACTAAACCCATTAGGTGGGGCTAAGTATAAAACTCAAGCAGCATCTGTTGTGTCCGTTAATACTATATTAATATACTAATAATAAATGAATGTTATTACATTATATTATAACTGCAGTATTTTATGTTTGGTTACTCGGGGTAAAAAGGTTTTTACTACTGCTGTACGAATGGTTAGGCAAATCCAGGATTGTTATCTACGTGTCCCTAGGCATATAAGAGCATCTGCAATGCTCTCTTTCTAGTGAAGGTAAAGTCTGCCATGTCATCAAAATTAGACATTTTATATTAAATTAAGCTTCTAATGCAGGTAGTCTTCAAGCACAGAAAGCTGACTTGTAATTCTGTAAAAAACAAAATTTGACACAGTGAAACCTGAAGTGTGCGAGTAGAAAGGCTTGAAGACTTGCTGACTCGGAAAAAGATGCGCGCGTCTTCAGAAAATATAATGATAGAGCATTAATACTCTGTAATTTGTTCCAGGTTTCATATGCGTTCTTTATTTCTATCTTTAATTTCATAAAGTAGAGGGAAACTATAGGAAGAGTTACCAGCTTCCAGATCTGTACGAATTCTTATTTTCAATTCAAGTTCTCCTCCAAATCGCCGCAGCAGCTCTCCATCATTGTGGTGTTGAAAACGAAGTACTTTAGGTTTTGAATTTATAACATCAAATGAGAGTTGTAACTGAAAACTGGGAATTAATGTTATGGAAAAGAAAAACACTCCAACCTTGTGAAATCTGCGAACGGAGGTGAATTTCATATAAATTCAATCACAGGAATGATATTTTTGTGGGTCTTTATATTTATATACTCATACACACACACACATACACATATATATAGGGGAGAGTTCAAATAAAAAGTGGAGTCCCGTGCAAAGTGCAAAATTTGCACTTTTTCATGTTTCGCTTTCACTTTTTCGTGTTTCCGTTGCACTTTTTCCCCATAGCGATTTTGGCCAAATTCGGCCAAAACCACCATGGCAGTTTTGTAAATAAACCAATTTTTTCGTTACCACGAAAAAGTGCAACAAAAACAAGCAAAAGTGCGAGCGAAACATGAAAAAGTGCAAATTTCGCACTTTGCACGGGAACACTACTTTTTATTTGAAAACTCCCCTATATATATTTATACGAAGTATATATGTATGTATGTATGTATGTATGTATGTATGTATGTATGTATGTATGTATGTATGTATGTATGTATGTATGTATGTATGTATGTATGTATGTATGTATGTATGTATGTATGTATGTATGTATGTATGTATGTATGTATGTATGTATGTATGTATGTATGTATGTATGTATGTATGTATGTATGTATGTATGTATGTATGTATATGATTCAGATTAAAGAATGGTTGTTTTCTTCTTTTAGTTGCAAGCATAAACAAATCTTTTATTGATGTAGGGAAGAATCAAAGACACGTGAGAGTGCCGGAGAATTGTAATCTTCTATGCGATTCTGGGACAGCTTCGTTTTACGTTGTTGTGTTGTGCAGAATGATAATTTACTATTATAAATAAATACATACTAAATTCCATGTAGGCACGAAATTGGGCCGTGAAACATTATGCATTGGAAGCTCCTTCGGTAGTTTAATATCTAGTCAATGCACTTCCTATTATGTGTATTAGAAAGTCCTTTATTTATTTGACACTTGGCACAATTTATTGAGACCAGAGACTATTGCATTGTGGATGCTCTAAGAGGCTGGACCGCAAAAAGGGGAGGCAGTTCGGATGAGTATTGAGGTAAATCGTCTTACCCATCTTTCCATCTTCTCCAAAATTCCCTCTCCTTGCCTAATATCTGCTCCCGTTTTCACAGGATCCATCGTCTACCACTGGTACAGGAGTGCAGCTGATAAGGCCCTGTTATTTAGCCTAGCCATCATATTTTCCCTGTTGCAAATAAGCTATTGAACCATATTGTTGTATTAATTGTTATTTCCGATCTCGAACTACACTGTCTTGGGTCACAACAGCATCACTTATTTGTGTTTAGAATCATATCCTCTACAGTCCCCATGTGCATGAGGTATCATGATCTAGCCTAATTGCCTCTCACCAAATTAGCTAAACTCATTCTATACTCTCAAACAGTTAAACATATGTATTTCTAGTGCCTTCTAACATGTGCAACTGTTACATGTATCTGCACATTACCATATCATCTCAAACGATTCTATTTCATCTTGTCACCATTGAGGCTACTCTTAATCTCTTTCAAATCAACTCATTTCTAATTCTGCCATCCTTACTTTGACCACACATCCATATCAACATTCTCATCTGCGACATCAACATATAGCGAACATGCTGATATTATAATGCCCCACACCCTCCATGCCCATACAACATAGTAGGTCAAATGGTTACTCTATACTCCATAGATCCCAAATATCAGGTGTATTTGGGAATTGGGATTACCGAATCTTGGCAGAAGTTGGAGTTCATACTCCATAGTTAGACTTAGTTTATGTTACTTATTAAAATTTAAATACTAAAAACTGTACTAAAAGTTATAACTCAAATATCACATTTGAATATGATAAGAAGTTGATATAAAAAAATTACTAAGTTGATCCCATGAAAAGTTACTAGGACATAAAAATGGGTCACATGGAAAGTGAAATTTCTTTCAGCTCAAGTGGTACTTTCTACCACCTGTAAATTTAAGTGAAACATACTAAAACGGCCAAAGGTGAATGTAGATGAGAGATATGTGAGAAGTGAGAACTCAAGATCCAACCAAATATTTGAACTACTATTAAAAAATTCCGATTATCAAAAGTAAGCTATTCATTGAATTGGAAATTAAAAAGGTCTAGTTATTTACTGAAAACTGCAATCTTACGAAAAGTATTAGATGTTAGTCCTTATAAAAGAGGACTCCTATCCACCAAGCTAGAGGCCAACTATGAATCATAAAAGTCTGTACTCAAGTGAATTATATTATTGTATTAATGGTCAATCACGGCTATTACCTGAGACACAATTCCAAAGGGTGTCTTCTCTGTTTTCACCACTCCCCCTCTTCCTTGACAATTAGAACATGTTTTTATGCAACTTCTGGACTTTGCTCCTGTTCCTTCACAACCATCACAAGCCTCTAAACAAGGTACTTCAATATCACGTTCTCCTCCAAATATTGACTCTTTAAAGCTCAAGTGCAAGTCATATCTACACTAAATAAGCTAAAATGAACAGATTTTATACAAAAAAAAAAAATAAGATGTTAATAACAGTTGGTATTACTAAACACTGCTCCAATATACCCAATCCTCAGTATTAGTTTCAGTCGGATACATTACTGATCCTTTCAACATTTTGTTAAATGTCCAAGAGAGACCGTAGTAATGAAATAACAAGATGATTTTAGCATCACGCCTATCGGGTGTAGGGGATATTGTTTCCATCATTGTTAAGGACATCATATTTATGTTCCCTCAATCCCTCCTTTGTGTTTTGTGTCTGACTGTTACTAAATAACATGAGTGCTTATGCACATCAACACCTAACCGGTAACCTTGATGCTTATTTTAAGATGAATTGTACGAGATCTTTGCAGATAATTTACAGACAGATTTTTTGAGAAAAAACTGCAAGCTGTGTATTGTTTTATATTGTCTGTAGAACTCCCATCAACATGTCAACCCAGAAATAGAAAAACTAGAACAGGTTGAAGCCTCAAAATAATCCAGATAGGTCTGACCTTTGAACAGAGAGGAAACAAATGAAATTAGGCAAATGAACCATAGCCCTAACGTTTTTACACATTAATGATAATAGAATGTTCTAGATATCACTCAAGAAATATTCATTTATTCAATGGTTAATAAGATCCCTTGATGAGTTATTTGTTGCTGGAATGCTAAACGAAAAATATTCTTTGATGATTTAGATGGTAAATTATGAATACCGAAAAAATATTCTTTGAAGATTTAGATAATAATTAATGAAAATCATGAAGAATATTCTTCTCTAATTAGTGCTTGAACACAGTCTCATGTGTTGTGGTCAGCCGAAAGCCCGGTCCCAATAAATGTAACAATAGCATATTACTTCCTCCGTCCCGCTAAGATTGTCCCAGACACTATTCACTTGATCAACACAAATCACTCTTAATCTCTTACTTTATATATCAAATTTGATTCTGGTTTTTGCGACTTTGTAAAGATTTTAATGTAGTTTCTGAATATGTAATTTCTTTTTTCTAAAAATAATTTGAGTGCGAACAGGGATCTGTTTGCTTTATCGTCGGTCAAGCATCGTAAACCGAATTGTCCCAAACATAGTGGGACGGAGGTAGTATAAATTAAATTAAATTAAATTACCTAATATCAAGATCCTGACGCCCTGCATTGCTGAAATCAAAGTTGAACCCCCTTGAACTACCACTTCCTCCGAAAAAGGAATGAGAGTCGCCAAAATATTGGGTGAACATTTCAAAAGGATCTATCTGCTTGGTTTACATATTCACAATGAAAAAACAGCCATTAACAACCAACACGCAAACTCAAAAAGAGCCATTCTACTGCATATGACTTAGAGAGTAAATAAAATTATAAACAAAAGGCAGATGAGCAAATCCAGCAGATATGATGACATTGACGCGAGCTTACCCCTGAAGCACCATCACCAGATTCGTTATATTCACCCTGTAATCCGGCTTCACCAAATCGATCATATAAAGACCTTTTCTCAGCATCTGATAGTACCTAGAGAAATGCTTTGGTGTCAAAAACTCAAAAAGCATCTACATTACCCTAGTCAAATCTAACCTAAGTCGTACCCAATCGCTTGCAAACAACTAACCTCAAATGGAATTGAACCTTAATTGAACCAAAGAGTAGTTAATCAAGAAAAAACAGCTCAAGTTGAACACAATATGCATGAATGATAAGAAACTGTGAATCTTTCACTGGGGGGATTAAAGATGTAACCTCATACGCAGAACTTATCTCTTTGAACTTCTCTTCAGCCCCCTGACCCTTGTTCATATCAGGATGATACTGCTCCAAAACATCAGAAATTCAAAACCCCTTAGTTACCGAACACAAAAAGTTTACATAAAATCATTATATAATAGCTTTAAGATTTTCATAGAACAAAAAATCAAACATTGATCAACTCAGGTATAATTTCAGAGTTAGAAATCATTTTAAGCTGTTGATTTGCAACAGCTTAAAAAAACCATTTCTAGGCTTTTGGATTAAAAAGCACTTATTTACCGGACACTACAATTTTTACTTTTCTCGGCTTTCGTGTGAAAAGTGTTTTTTTATTTCTATTACACAAAAAGTACTTATTTTACCAAACATTACCAACTTTTACTTTTCAAAATCACTTTTTTCTAAGAAAGTATCAGCTTTTACTATTAATCACATTTTCCAAATCACTCCAAAAGTGCTTTGGAATGATTGGCTGCAACTAGGATGTGATGGATTGCCACATTGTTATATTAAATGGCCAATGAATCCTTCACTTCCAATAAAGAAGAAATACATTTCTAATAAAAAGAGAACCCCCCATTTGAAAGAGCTATCAGCACAAGGCCAACAACTAAAAGCATACAGGTAAGAGAGCGTACCTGCCGAGCAAGTCTTCGGTAAGAGGCCTTGATTTCTTGCAAAGATGCGTTTTTACCGACATTTAGAACGGAGTAGTAATCAGAGCCTTTCTTTGCAGCTGCAATAACGGATGCAAAGCGCCGGGGATGAGTGCTGAATGGGAACAAAGAAGAGTCGTTGGGCAGGATAAATTGAGACGGTAAGCTGCGAAACAACAGGGTTTTGGGTTTTAAAAAGGTGGGTGTTGGAGAGAAGTGGCAGGAAGGATGAGTTGAGGGGGCGAAGTTGGATAGTTTGTTCCCAGTAGAATGGGGAGTGAGGAGGAAGGCGCGGTTTTGATTGACATGGATAACTGGCATCGCGGCATAGACACTGGAGGAAATCGCCAGCGGCAATCTAAAAGGTTTCCTGCCCTTCCGGTTCCCGGAATATGTCTATATGTATCTCTCTGTTCTTCTCTTCTGCTTCTGGCTTTTTTCAAATTTCGTGTTCAATGGGCAAATATGCAGAAGTCAATGCTCATATTTCTGCATACCAATGAAAATCGAAGAGTAGAGGTTTAGAAATTAGGAAAAATTCTACTGTACCTTCTTAAATTTGGAGGATTTTCGGTACCTACATTTTTTTGTTTGGTTCACCTTAACCATATGCCCCAGAACTGCCCTAAGTTCTGAAGTTATTAGCTAAGGAGAAATCATCTCATCAGGCCGGCCTGACGGGCTTCCCCGTCCGGCCGAGCCCGTTTGGGCACCTTCCCGGTGGAATTTTTTGATGAAATTTTTTGAGCATGTTCCTCATCAAGTCTAGTTTGTCCATACCAAATTTCAGCTCAAAATTCGATCGGGAAGGTCGTCAAATGATTTTTGCAAGTTAACTGGTCCAGAATATGTATTTTCCGGACCAGTTAACTTGCAAAAATCATTTGACAACCTTCCCGATCGAATTTTGAGCTGAAATTTGGTATGGACAAACTAGACTTGATGAGGAACATGCTCAAAAAATTTCATTAAAAAATTCCACCGGGAAGGTGCCCAAACGGGCTCGGCCGGACGGGGCAGCCCGTCAGGCCGGCCTGATGAGAAGAGCTCTCATTAGCTAAGTATTTACATTTTTTTGGACACATTTATTTCGCAAGTTACTAAATGGTTTGAATGATGTTTTTTAAGACTCGCGTAGATAAGCGACACATAAAATAACCAGCGATATACGCTCATGTTTACTTCAAAGGATTTAAAAAATATGTGATGGACTAAAAAAAGACCTTTTTACTTCATTTCCAAAAATGTGACTAATAAATACCAACTTTCCTAAATTACCAAGTGTCTGCGTAGCTTTACTCAACACTCTGTAACGATGCATTGCGTAAAAGGGTAGTCAGTAGTGCGTGCCTCTACAATCCTTGGTGCTTCCTTTTAACTTAATTTTTTTCTCATTTATCAAGATAAGTGTAAATATATGTGTATTAAATATTTAATTATTTAAGAAAAAATGGCACAGACATAACTATCCGGCTTTTGATTTCCCAAAAAATAAGAACTTTTGCTTTTCCCAGAAATATGACCTGGCCCATACGGGCTCCTTCACATTTCAGTTGTTCGCGAGTGACCTTCCTTACGTATGCGCTGGATCAAAGGACCATATGAATGGAGAAGACCTCCCAGTCGCTGCCATCACCTCTGACGAATCTCGCCACCGCCTTCGACGAATCTCGCCACCGCCATCGCCTCCGACGAATCTCGTCGCCGCCATCGCTGGAGGAGTGCTTCCATCGGCGCTCCAGGGCTCGAGTAGTGCCGCCATCGCCGCTTCAGGGGTCCGCCGTATCCACTCCATGGATCTGCCGTCTCCGCTTCAGCCCTCGTTAGTTTCTGTCGCCGCTTCAGATCTCGCCGGTCTTCATCGCCGCCTCACCAGTCATCGACCTCCTCGTTCAGATCTGGTTCAGATCTGGCGACGATTTTGTGAAGGTTGGCCGGCGAGGAGGGTCAAAACCGGGCAGGTCGAGTTATTGGGAGTGGTGGTCGGCTGGTGGTGGCGTGGTGGTGGGGTAGGGGTGAGATGCTGTAGGCTGGTGGAGCAGTGGAGGGGGGCTGGGGATCGGGTGTGGGGCTAGGGATCTGGTGTGTATGGCAGGTGGCAGATCAGGGAAAGTGGCAGTGGGGTAGGGACTGGGTGTTGTGGTCACCGGCGGGGAAGGTGGTGGTAACTGATAGAGGGCAGAGTCTGAAGTAATTTTGTGTCATTTTGGCCGTCGGCGGCGGTTGCCGGTGGAGTCATTGTGGAAGGAGTTGCCTTGGCATGAGCCACTGTGACCGAACTCATTTTGACGGGAGTCACTATGACCGGGTGAGTCACTATGATCGGAGTAACTTTGGCCGCTGTCACTATGGACGAAGACGGAGTGTCACCGTGAGCGGGTAGTCACTGTGGCGGTGGGGCAGTCACTGTGGCCCGCGGGGCAGTCACTGTGGCCCGCGGGGCAGTCACTGTGGCCCGCGGGGCGGTCACTGTGGCGGTGGGGCAGTCACTGTGGCCGGCGGGGCAGTTACTGTGGCGGTGAGGCAGTCACTGTGGCGGTGGGGAAGTCATTATGGTTGGTGGACAGACACTTGGTCGGAGTCACTTTGACCGGAGTCACTTTGGATTGTAGGGGCTAATTTCATGTTGGTCACAATTTTGGAATTTTTAAAAACGTTTCACTTTTTTGTCTTTTATCCTAATTTTAGTAATATTCAGGCCAAAAGGCCATTATTTAATTTAATACACTATAATTTGTGTGAAAATGACCCACAAGTTACAGTTATCCGACCTGATTAATTACAGTTACTTAATTAATCCGATGGTGAACACACCGATCACCACCGCCGATCACCGCATCCGGCCACAGCCACCGGCCGCATTCGGTCACTGACAAAATTTATTAGTGACCAAAAATTCTTCAGTGACAAAAATTATTAGTTATTAAAAATCTGAAAACCTTCAATGACAAAAATTATTAGTGACCAAAAATCCAAAATCTGTCAGTGACCAAAATTATTAATGACCAAAAATTTCACCAAGTTACCAATCCTGCCCAACCAGTGACCAACACTCATTCGTCCAGTTACCAACGTCCGCCCGTCAAGTGACCAATGTTCGCATGTCCAGTTACAGTTATCCAACTCGTCAAGTTACAGTTACCTGACCCGCACAGTTACATGACCCGTCCAGTGACCAATGCGTTATCTTTACTATGCCCACCAGACCCACTACAGTGACCAATACGTTATAGTGACGTAATTGACCAATACATTACGGTGACCTATGTCGTAGTGACTATATTCCTAGTGACCGTTGACACAATGACCATATACCCAATTACCAATGCCACTGTTACCAACACTTAGTGACCCAGCTCCAGTGACATCCCGACTATAGTGGCACCCGGCCCCAGACCACCCCGATCTCAGTGACCAACCCGACCCTAGTGACCAACCCAATAGTGACATCCCATCAATGATCAGTACCCTGTTACTGCAATCAGCAACCATTACCCTGCCGCCATTGAGCGGTACCTCATCCCTACCACACATCAATGACCAGTACCTGCCCTCGTCACCGGTGACCAGTCCCCGCCCGGTTACAGTTACTATAACATATCAATTACACTTACTAGATTCAATAATAACCACCGCTGACCAGGACCACCCGCAACCACCAATGGCCACCACAGCCGGCCTCACAACCACTGTCGGTCACCTTCATCAACCGCCGCCACCAATGACTCAGCGCAGCCCTACACTGCCCAGCTGCCACCTCGGTGCCACCCCTCTGCTCGCCTCTCCTGAAACCAGCCTCCCCCGCCTCCGTGGTAATGACAGCCGCCGCTCCGGCAATGACAGCCTTCACCCATCGGTGACCTCCCCTAGCCCCATTGCACCCCCAATCCCGCTTTCCAGATTCTCCTTGCCCCATAAACCTTCAGAAATCTCATATCCAACATTGCCCTGCTTTACCCTTGCCTCAACCGCCCTGATCCAGTCATTGCCGCAACCCTACCGCCGATATACTGCAGCAATAACTCAGTCGCTGCCCAAATCCAGTCACCTCGCCCTCAGCTAGATGGAATTGTTGACCCCCAATCCTCTTCATCCGCCGCCACAACTAGAAATCGCATTCCAATTTCCATCACAATTGCCGGTTAGAAAAAAGAGAAAAAGGAAATGAACGGCAGAAATTGCAGACGATTGTGAGTAGCGGACAAGGAGAGAGATCGGCTAAGGTGATGGTGGGAGGTGGACAGCCGGCGTGAATCGTGCAGTGGCGCGGTGCATGTCGTGGGAGGCACAGGTCGTAGGAGGCGCAGGTCGTGGGCGGCGGAGTGAACCATCGATGGAAGCTTGAAGGTGCCTGAGGTGAGATTACGGTTTGATAGGAGATTTTATATTCAAGGGTGTTTTGGTCTGTTCATTTAAAAGTAGTCTCTTTTTTGTCCATATCATAAAGTGGTCTTCTTTCTGTCTTCTGAAACCTAATTCCTACTATATCCGTCATTCTTTCATTTAAAACACCGATAAACATTAAAATGTCCAAAATAACCCTACATATATATAGACACACAAACATTCATGTACACAAGTATATAATATAATATGTGGGGCACCCCGTACGCGTTTTCCCTAGCCCTACCCTGACCGTACCCCCTACCGTCTCTCTACCCTTACCCCTACCACGACCTACCCCTACCCCTACTCCCCTACCTCCCGCGTTTCCCCCGTATCCGCGACCTTTGTACCCTTACCCCCTACCTTGTACCTGTACTCTTACCACTACCTTGACTAGTAGGCTCGTACCTCTACCCCCACCTCTTAACCCCTACCCCTAGGGTCAGGGTAAGGGGTAGGGGGTAGGGGCACGAGTCTGGTAGGGATAGGGTGAGGGGTAGGAGTAGTGTATAGAACGTGGTAGGGGTAGGGTCGTGGTAGAGGTAAGCATGGTTAGGGATAGGGGTAGGATGTAGGGTTGGAATCAAGGGGAGGTAGTACAGGGGTTGGGGTGGGGTAGGGGGTATGGGGGTCGGGGTAGGGTCGAGGTAGGGGCAATGGTAGGGGGTAGTGAGGTCGGGTCAGGGTAAGGGTAAGGGGGCATGAGGGACGGGGGAGGGTGGTAAAAGTTAGGGGGTAAATGCTGGGGGATAGGGGGTATGGGTGGGTGGGGATATGGTAGTACACGGGGGAAGAGTTAGGGGTAAGGGATAGGGTATGGGAGGGTAGGTGCAGGTGGGGGTTAGGGTTCGAGTTAGGGGTGTGGTGGGGGTAGGGGTAGGATAGGGGTAACAATAAGGGGTAAAGAAAAGGGGTAAGAGTAAAGATTAATTCGGAAACTGAAAAAGTTTAAAGTGTCGCTTAATTCGGAATATGAGGAGTGATATGTTTAGTATGCAGCAATTTAAGCACCTTTTCGGTTAATAAGTGGCCTTTTAAGCAAATTGCATGTTTACTTCATCTGTCTTACTGACATAACTGTGACTTTAGCAGCGAAGTAAACACGTCCTTGTTTTTTTTTAACGGAGAGACTTAACTATCACGGAGTTTTAATAAGGGTTAATTACCTAACTATGAGTAAAAGGTATATAAAATTCATAAATAGGACTA